GCAAATGAATTTTATTTAATTATTTGAAAAAATTTTACACATTTTCCAATAATTTAATTTGATCAAATAATTGCTAAATTCCTTCTTTTTTTAAACTTTCTTTTTATTTTTTTCAAATTGAAGTTCAAATTTGATGAATAAATAAGAAAAAAGATTAAATAGGGAAAAACAAAAAATAGGAAGCATAGAGAAATGAACACTTAGGAAGAAAAAACTCCGGAATGAATGAGTGACTGAGTGAATTAAAGAATGAATGAATGAAAGAATGAATGAATGGATAGTCCATTCTGTTATGCTTCAAAATATTTCCTCACTTCTCATTCGTTCACCGAAATATCATTTATCATTGATAGAGGCGGGGGTGTTTGATTGACAGAAACAAGGAGAAGTTGTACCAAACTATTTCCATTCATATTCCATCCTTCTTCCTCCTATTATCATTTCCTAAATATGTCTTAATTGAAAAAAAAATTTTTTTTTTAGACATTTTTATGCAAATTAAAAGTGTCATAATTACTATCTTTTCAGACTATTATTGAATTTTAGTCAATTCTCTCGGCATAAAATATTTCTTGTTACATGATATAGAGATAATAAATAATATTTACAGTGATGATTGTTGATGGTGATAACGATAATGATGATAATAATGATGAGGATGACGATGATGGTGATGATTTGCAACAATAATAATTATTGTTTGTTAAATGATTAAACAGGATAGTGTCAAATTATATGCAATGTTATTTTCTCATCTTTCAATTTTGAATTTTTTTCAGCTACTTTAATATTAAATTCGAAATATGCAAATTTTTGCATTCATTATCTTGTCACAAATGTATTGTTTTCATTATGATTAATTAAATTAACTGATCAAAATTAATTAGTAATTTGAACTTTGTGTGGCATTCAACCTCTATCAAAATTCTATCATAATCGATTGGTAAGTGGAAATCGCTACATATTGTACTGTTTGTCGAGATTTTCATCATTTTTCAAAAAGTAAATCTAAAAATAAAGTCTTACTTATTTTGATTTTTTCTAAAAAACAGTTTGACTCTCCCAATTTTTTGCAAATATGATATTAACTATTTAAATTTGTAATTTTAAGTTTTTCCTAATCATTATTTCACCTTAATTTCTAAAATATTTCGAAATTTTTATAAAACAACAAATGAATAATGCATTTATTACATGTAAAGTGTAACATAATACATATTTATATGAAAATCAAACAAAACTTTTAAGCTAAAAGCTAAAAAGACACATGCATAGTCTTTTTATCTTCTTTTCCTCTGAAATATATTTTATTAAGGATAGAAGTAAAATGTTATTATGAAAAAAGAAAGACAACATTTTCCAATTTCGCAAAAGACTGTTCGAAATTTTATTTTGTAAAATGAACTAATGAGAAATTTTATTTTATTGAATGAAAGTAAAAGAAAAAAAAGAGCACTTCACAACTTACAGTATGCATAATTTGAATTGCAACGTATTGTTTAGGTTTCTTTAAAAGTGATAATAATTATTTCAGTGTAAGAAAAAATATTTAGATAATTCTAAGTTTTAAGCAACTAGAAAATGAATTGAAATTTTTCCTACTTATTAAATTTGAAAAGAGAAATATTATTTTTTATGAGCTCAATTTATTGGCATTTAGTGGTAATGATGAAGACTGGACAAAATTGAAAATTTTTCTAATAATAACCATTTAAAATGTTAAATTTTACTTTCATAAATTTAATAATCACTTCAATGAAAAAATAAATGACCATAGATTTCGAAAAGAAAGCATTTATGGAAAGTTTGGAAGAAAATACAACTTTATTATATTTTTCTAAATAGCTAAGTTAAATTAAGACATATCGCATTTATTTAAATTTTTTCGCATTTCAAAATTTTGTTAAAAGTTAAGAATTTAGTGCTTTTCATTTTACTCGAAATTAATTTAAACGTGTCATATGATAAAGCAAGAAATATTCTTGGTCATAATAATTATTAATTATTCTCAGTAAGTGATAAATATAGAGTATTGAAATTCATATAATATGTCCATCTGATAAAATACTGAAAAATTATGAAATTCAAATAATAATTATTATAGCAATTATTTTATAATGCTCAAAATTTCTAATACTTTCATACATAATTGTTGGGATTGTAATATAACAGAACATTTTCAATCACTTTAAATTTACTCAATTTCTTGTAGTTATGAAGTGAAACTTAAACATTGATATCAACAAGCAAATATTCGCTTGTATTTTAAGCTTAATTTTTTTTAATTTCAATTCAAATTATTACCATCACATATTATATAATTCTAATGATATTGAATACTGGCAACATACTTATTGAAGACGAACACGAAAAAAAAATCATTTTGATTGTATACAAATGCATTACAATACTAAAAATATTATTTGATTTATAAAAATCTAACAAAATTAATTTATCAGATAATGTATCGAGTGACTTTTGTGTGAATTAGTTTATTGGAAGAGCAAAATTCTTCATCTTTTTTATTATTTTTTGTTCTTGCCGATTTGCTCAAAATATTTTGCATAATTGTTTTGTTTGAAACGAAGTAATATCAAACAGCGATAATGATATTTCCTCCTTTTTTTTGCCTCAAAATGAACAATTTCCTTTCAAATTCAACCACCGAAATTGGTTTATTTCACAGGGAAAGCGATGAATTCACATGCATAAATGTTCATATCCAAACATGGACCGAACAATTAGATGCTAATGTAGCTGTTTGTTCAAAATTTCATTCATTTCATCTTAAAACTAATTATTTTTTATTTTCTTCTTTTTTTACTATCACTACTACTATTTGCATTTTGAAGTAATTCGTTTTAATAATAATATTGTAATTTCAATTTTCATTTAATCATTATTGTATTATATAAAATGCTACATTAATTTTATTAAATATTTACTCATACTTACTTTTTATAAGTTCACTTATCAAATTTGTTATTTATTAATGAATTCATTGAATGGGAAATTAAATATGATACAGTGTATGTATGTAATTTTAATATTCTGCTGAATGAATTTCATTACACAAAGTACAATTTTATTATTGTTATTATTATTATTGGAATGAAATTTTGATCTCTCATTATCAATTATAATTAATATTTGAAAAAAAAATCATTTTGACGTGTAATGCGTAAATGCAGCAAATGTTTCAACATTAAAGAAAAATTGTATCGTTTGCAATCCTAAATATATTTACGTGTTGTTTGACGTAATCATGCCAATATGTAAATATTACACCACTACACTAAAATACCTATCATCCATATTTATGACTTTCGGCAAACGTAATTTTACGTAATCTTACAAAAGTTGTAATTGAAAATGCCAGTCCTTCTCAAAAAGCTTGTGGGTTATAACAAATTCCCGTAAATATTTTGAAATAAATACATGCGTAATAAAAAAATAAGTACATAAGTTTAACACTAACTATTATATGATCTAAAAAAAGAAAATAGATTAATTAAAAAACTCTTTGTTGAAGCGATAAGTACATCGTATAAAGTATAGGTTATATTGGGCAATTTCAGATAAGAAATGATATGTTGGTACAGTTAAAGATAAAAAAATTAACAGATGGCATTTGTTACTATTTCTAAAGCAATGATACCAATAAAATGTGTGTTAATATCTTAATTAATTATCACAAATTAAAAAGATCAAAATTTTATAGACATAAAAGAATTCTTGAGAAGTAAACAGGAATATAATATCAGTATTACTGATTTGTTGTAATAATGGTGGTAATAGTGATAATGATAGCGAGTATTAGTGGTAAATGATGGTGATACAGGAAAGATCGTGATGTGATATGATATGATATGATATGGTATAATGAATTATGTATATAGAGATTCAAATGATGATGATAACGATAATAATGACACCAATTATAGTAATAATGATAATGATAGTGAATGATGAAGATGAGTTACAGTACTAATGAGAATAATGGTAAGGTTTGTTGTTGGAACTGAAAGGGTTAAGATATTTTGATGCAGAAGTGATGGAAGGAGAAGAGAGACAGATGCCTTCGGGTATCGTCAACTGACTGACTGACTCACTCACTCACTCACTCACTCACTCACTCACTCACTGACTGACTGACTGACTGACTGACTGACTGACTGACTACACTTAGGCATTCATTCACTCATTCACTCACTCACTCACTCACCGATTCTTCATTGGCGCAATTGAACTGCCCCATAGCAAACTGACTATTATCTCTGGACAACCCCAATACCATCCTCAACATTTTCCATCCCATTTTAATTCTCTCTCTAAATGTCTCATTTAATTTTAATTTTAATTTCAATCTTTAATTCTTATACAATTATATATGATATTTTATGTAAATTGGTTAACAATGTAAAATATCATCCTTTCTGTTTTTCTATATCATTTATTTGTTATTGTTATCATACTTCATTTCTTTTTTTCTATGTTTACTTTCATTTCTTTATTATTATTATTAAAAATTTCTCTCTTTCTCCTTTTCTCTTTTTTTCTATTTCTCTAAAAATTATGAAAGAGAATTGATCTCTCTTTTCTTTCCTATTACTTTCTCAATTCGTCATCTTTTTAGAGAGAAAGGAAGAGAAAGAGAAGGGAGTATATTTGTCAATTGACATTCTCTCTCTCTAAACAACTAACTAACTAGGAGTTATGGAGATGGAAAGAGAGAGAGAGAGAGAGAGAGGAGAAATGGAGAAAGGAGGGTACAAAGAGGGAAGTATACCCAATCGGGTCCATCAAATGTTTAGTTGGAGGCGGAGTTTCTGCTATGTGCCGTTGGACGATGTTGTTGATGATGATGTTGCTGATAACAGTAATGATAATGATGATTATGGTAGTGATAAGGTAAAATTGTTAACATGTATGTTAACATTGATTGTAACAATGATAATGATAACAAAAAATTGTTAGATATAGTAAAAGTGATGATTATGATGACAATGATTATAATAATAGAGCTTAATAGTAATAATAATTATAGCTGACTATTGTTCAGAATTTTTTCAGAGAAATTATCATTAATTGATATAGTATTAGTTAATCAATTAATAATTTATATTTTCTCTCATAGTTATCAGCACTTGAAGCATACAACTTTTGGTATAAATTCTAGATTAATCGAACTAATGCATTATTTAGAGTAAATTTTTATAATAGATTAATATTCATGTAATTATTTGTACATATTTCTTGGGTTTTTTTTTTAATAAACTTTGACCTCATATAACATGTATGCAAATGTTTGATGATAGTAATATTTGTATAATATTGGAAGAATGGGAAAGGATTGGATGATTCAAACAGTTTAACAATAACAATGATTATCGTTTCTCAATTTATTACCCTAATTTGGGGCTATTTTAATACAGCAACCATCGTTACGTTTTTTTTATCTTTCCGTAAAAAAGAAAAAGATTGACAGATATTTTGTTCGAAAAAAAATTCCAATTAATTTGAATGAAATGTCTAAATTTAAAATAATGTCAATTTAAAAAGTTATGACTAATTAATTAATTCTTCATCCCATTTATTCAATCGAACTAATTAATTGCGAATGGAATAATTTAACTATAATTGTTAATAAAGTTAGCTTTCTTTTCGAAGAAAGATTTTGTTGTGAGCTA